GAATAATGCCCAAGAGTTATTTCATTAAGAGTGAATTTCTCTGTACCCGAGGATCAACATTTTATTCCGAAGGCAAATACTCCAAGGATTGAATGGTTGGATTGGTTACAAATTAGGGAGCTGGGGGAAAGGCATCAAAATGTCGGATAAATGGCCCTAGAAGGAGTTAACTATAACCAGGGCCTAGGCACTAAGTGTGGCAAAAGTTTTCATGAATCCTTTGAAGGTATTACCAGCCCGCCCATCCAGGTTGCCATCTCTGGATATAAGGTCTGGGCTGCATGTTATGAGTCCAGTAAACAGAACAGTTCTGAAAAGAAAAAAGAATGGGGATACAAGTCTGAGAAATTAGACCGCATAAAGAAACCATAGAAACAATGAGACTGCCTCTCCTACCTACTTACCACAATTGCATGTGATGCCCCTCAACAGAAAAACCCTGGTGGAGACACTGTCCTGTAGAGTCAAGGAGCAAAGGTATGTCCTAAAATTCCACCCACTTGACCTTGGTATCCAAAGGTCTCATCCCTATAAAACTTGACAATTAAAATCTGTACCTTGCCCGTAGGCTCAGATTTTAAAGAAAAAACAGCTGCTACGACAAAACTCATTCACTATCACCACCATCAAAACCTCAATATTTACTTCTAACTAGCAATAACATTCTTTACCTTCCATCAAAGGCACTAGAGTCCATATATGATGATGAGATAATAATTTAACCTCGGTTTTATCTTAAAAGACAAGCATTCCATGAAAGTATTACACATACAACAAATGGTGCCTTTTTTATTTCGACACTGAGAGTGAGGAGAAAAAAAAAAGACACTTTCTACACCCATGATGTGGCTCAAACCGTGGTCATCAGTTTCAACGAGCCAGAACGGAAGCGGAGGATTTTCTTCTTGAGGTTATGGGAGGCCTTAATTTTGACAAAGGTCTTTGCAGGGTTGTTGTGAAGGTCAGGGGCCGTGACCGTCTGGATTGGGAGAGTCTGGACAAACTGGGACCAGATTAGGCCTCCGCTTTCTTCAGAGTCGCTGGTGGTCGTGCTCTCCGCCACGAAGTCGCCCTCGCTCACACTCGACTCGCTGTCCCCAAAGCAGTTTGTGGTGTAATTGCTCTGCTCGTCCTCGCTGGTGTCCACCACGGTGGAGTGGAACAGGGACTCGCACTCGGCCGAGTACTCGGAGTCGCTGGCCACGTAGGCGTAGGGGCTTGCGTAGGGCAGCGGCACGGGCGTGGGGAACACCCCCGCGTTCTCCCGGCGTCCCCTGCGGGCCCTCCGCAGGGCCTCCTCGTAGGAAATCTCAGCCGAGGACTTCCAGCGCCGATAATCAGTTCGCTTGTGCTTAGGTTTGGCCACCACGGGCTCCCGTCCATGGCCATGCGCCCGGCTCCCAGCCCTGTGACCCCCGCCCTGGGGCCTGCCCGGAAGTCCTGCCTCGGCTGGCCTGCCTGCGCTCTTCCTCCCCTTGGAGGAGACTTTCTTGAGTTTCTTATTTGTATCCGAGTC